TTTTTTTTGTCCTTATATTTTATGGCCTAACTTACTATATGATGTTATTGTCTAACTTTGAAATGTATCTTTTTGGTTTGAATATTATCAGCATGGTTTGCCTATAGCCAGAAAGGTTTATACTGTCCCTTTAATTAATTATAGTCATGTTACTGATGATGTTGGATATAAGCCTTCTAAAGGTTTGAAATGGAATGGGAAGGAAGTTATGACTCAAAGACAACTTCAAGTCAAAGTTGCAATGGCTAGAATCAAGACAAGGTCCCAATCTGATAAAATACAAACAAGATCTAAGGTTATGGGGAGATCTCCCTCCAAGATGATCACTTGAATTTCTTTACTGTTTGGTTGTAGTATTTGATATACTAGACTTCGTTTTTGTTAAATTTGTGGGGTGGTCATTTTAGTTGAATTCATGGGGTGTATGTTTTTTGTGGATACTGATGGTGGTACAAAACTTTATTTTGTGAACTAGTTTGTCATGTGTATGTCTAGTTGTATATGGATAGCATAGTTTAACTCTATTGTTAGATGTTAAATTTCGACTTTCTTTGTCAAATTACTAGCTATGTTGACAAAATATAGTGATTCTGACTTGTTATTTTTTTGGATAGTAGTGTCAAACAATATATCATATTGCTTAACTTCTATTACATAATACCAGATAACCATTATTAGTACATGAGCAAAATCAGTTTCAAAAGTAAATTGAAAAATAATAGAAACTTTAGCATTCTTTCCCTCTTTGATAGTTTCTTAGTCTTCTTCAACAACCTAGAAATAACAATGTTTGCTTGCTCTGGAAATGGAGGTTCATACCACTGAAAAAATAGATAAGAATTTTTCTTCGGATAAAGACTACATCCAAAGAATCGTCGTCTAGGATTTGTAATAGTCCATGCAACTTTAAAAGGAGCTGGCTTGTCACATCTAACAAAAACATTCATCTTTTTTCTTACAAGTAAAAAAATGGTTGTTATTTGGCAAACTATAAGGGCCAAAATCTTCGGGGGGATGGAATTTGGCTGGACAAAGAATGTGATAACAAAGAAAATATTGAAGACATGGAAAGAAGCCAATAAATAGGGGTGAGAAGGTAGTTGTTACCGTTGGGAAAAATTATTACCGTTAGGGATGGTTCTAGGATTGGGAAAGGGAAATATTCAACTGATGAGGCAAAAAATATACTCTCCCTCGCGCAATCAGCCATTTGAACCAAATTCCACTACCATGTGGCAGATTGGGGGGGATAAGAAAATCCGAAAAAGTAAGCATAGAGGGTAATTAAAATCGTGTATAGTTAAGGTGTACACTCATTAAAAAGTGTCAAGTTTAGGGGGGGTCTTTACCTATTCCGCCTAAAAAGAAAGAGTTCCTAGAATATAACTACTTGCTAACAGTAAAAAGAAAGTGTTTCCTAGAGCATAACAAGTTTTCTTTTCTCTTTTTGTCTACACAAAGCTTGTCTTGGATCTACACTTGCTGGTGCAAAAAAAAAAGGAAGAAGTAAAATTCTTTCTTATTATAATTGAGTATAGGTAACGAGATTATGCTCCTCTTCCATTGTTATTTTACTCTAATTAACCATCTTACAACCACTTTTATCTCATCTAACATTTTTTTTCAAACATGATAAAAGAAGCAAAGCCACTGCCAAAAAACATCAATAGATCACATTTAGCTCTAGGGGACGTTAAATTGCTTGAGAAAATAAAACGCAATGTACACATTTTGTCATAAGTTGTTGGTCATCGAATTTTCATTCTAATACTTTATCTTTATTTAGAACCTCTAGGATGAAATATCAAATCCAAAATCATCAAGTAATCAAATAGTTCTGCAACTTTAAGGTTTCTTTGGATATTGAACATTTGATTTCTCAATAGCCACATTGTTGAAAGTTGTAAAATTGCTCTTTATGAGTTTACTTGTGTTGTCTCATTAAGGTGTTGCCTCTTTACTGCACGTTGGAGACAAAGCATTTGATCTTTGTAAGTTAGCTCTTTAGATAAGGATTTAATAAGTGAAAATATCAAATTCGCCTAACTTTGGAACAAAGTTAAGATTAATTACATTATGTCGTCTCTAAAGCAAATTATACACAGAGACGACAATGCGTTCTTAAGCTTGATTTTGTGAGTCAATAGGGTTCTCCGTTGAGGTGTTACTAAAAGCTACTATGTAGGATCTAAAAGCTACTGGGTATCTTTGATTCTCGCCAATATTTCTACTGTTTTCACTCCGAGTTTGAAGGTATGTGTGCCTCTTTCTATTAGGCTAAAATCAGGGCTTTTACATTGATTGTGATTTTTGCATGCATGCTGATTAGGGTTAAATTAGGGCTTTTATATTGTTTGTTAATACTTGGGGGTCTTTACCGATTACTGTTTATTTGTAATCTTCTGTATATAATTTTACAAACTTCTATCTTGAGAGTTATTTTTTACTTTTTCTTATTCCTGTGTAGGGTTCCATAGATACTAAGTATTTGAATCTAAGATGAAAAATTGATGGGATATTAGTGAGTGAGGTAGGACCTCTATATGTTGGGGGTAGGGTAGAACATGTGACTAATGTCGACTATGACCACCTGTCAATTTCAGAGTTATCTGATTATGCTAAGGATTTTGGGATTACAAAGTTAGGAAAAACTTATATTATGAGTGCTAAGGGTGGCAGTTTGGTTGAATTAACAAAGGATAGGAATTTAATGGACTTTTCTATGTTATTAAACAATGGATACACAATAGATATTTTAATCTTTTCTGACTCACAATTTGAGGAGGTGGATGCTATAGAAGATAGCCAAATAAGTCACGTGGGTGAGCCTTTTAATGCATCTTCCAGCACACAACAATACAATAGGGAATCTTTTATTCCATGTGGTCCTCCTTTAAATACTACTGCTGCAAATCTAGATCTAGGGTTACCTACTCCTTTGAATACTACTCAGGAAGAGGATTCACCCATATATTGGACTTCCTCTTCAGAGGAAGAAGAATCTACTGTTGCTGATGATGAAAAGGACATTGCTGCTGATTCTCAACAGGTAGAACATACTGGAGAAGAAGAAGAAATAGCATCTGGTGATAAATATGAGAGGTCATTTGATTATACAAGTGATGTCCACGAAAATTTGAGGGTTGTTAAAGAAGATTCTGAAGAAATACAGATAAAATAATAGGAGAAATCTTAGGAAGAAAAAACCTGATGGAGTTTTAGGTGAAGTTGGATTTGATGAAGGTTATGAGAATATAGATCAGCCCAAAAAAATATGAGAGACAAATTAGGAGGTGATGATGAGCCTTACTATGATAGTTCAGATCTAGATAGCTTTGAATCTGAATCAGATCTGGAAGGGGGAGGGTGATCATGTATCTGATAATGATGTAGGTGATATGGGACAATTAAGGAGAAGGAAAAAAACAAATAGAGTGGTTTATGATTCTTCTGCCAAAATTGTTACTTGGCAATTGGGGATGGTATTTGAGAATGTGAAGGAATTTAGAGAAAGGTATTCAGCTAGTTAAGGATCTTGATGAGCCACATAGGGTCAGAGTTAAATGCAAAACTGGTTGTCCTTGATTGTTGTTTGCTAGCAAGGAAGGTAGGAGTACAAACTTCACAATCAAGACTTACAATCCAAGACACAAATGCCATAAAACTACTTACAACTATCTGTGTAATTCAAAATATGTGACAAAGCAGTTCAAAGATAGAATTACCTCACAACCTAGAATTAAAGGTTGGGAAATTCATGATATGGTGAGAAAAAAGCTTGGTTTATATGTTGGTAAGGCTATTTGTTTGAAGGCCATAAAGATTGTGTTGAAAGAGATTACGGGGGATCATGTTGCTGAGTTTGGTAAGATTCTGGACTATAGGGATATGCTACTCAAAATAAATTCTGGTAGCACATGTGCAGTAAAATTGATAGACACAGATGATGGGTAGAAGCAGTTTTCTAGTTTCTATATTTATTTTGCAGCTATGAAGCATGAGTTTATGGAGGGTTGTAGGAGATGTATATGGTTATATGGATATTTTTTAAATGGTATTTGTAAAGGGCAACTATTGGCAGCAGTAGCAAAGGATGGGAATAACCAAATGTTCCTAATAGCTTGGGCTGTTGTGGGCATTGAAAAAAACAAACATGAAGTTGGTTCCTCAGGTTATTGCAAACTGATTTGAACTTGGGAGATGGAAGGGAACTCACCATGATAAGTGACATGCAAAAGGTATGTACTACTGTTTTTCTGCTTTTAAATAATTCTGTTTTTCTATTTTTTGTTGTTGTTTACATACTACTATTTTTCTATTTTTTGTTGTTTAAAGCTGACTGTCTTTCTGATTTTCTACTGTTTAAGTATTTCTGTTTTTCTGCTATTTAATTACTACTATTTTTTTGGTTTAAAACACTACTGGTTTTCTATTTTTTTGTTTTTTAAAGCTGGTTGTCTTTCTGTTTTTGTACTGTTTAAGTTATTACTCTTTTTCTGCTGTTTAAGTATTACTATTTCTCTGTTTTTATGCAGGGTCTATGTTCAGTTGTATAAGAGATTTTACCTGAGTGTGAGCACAGAATGTGTGCTAGACATATTCTGGCAAGCTGGGCTATTAAATGGAGCGGGATTGAAAGATGAAAAGGATTCTGGGGTATTGTTGGATCAATATTTGAGTGTGAAATGAAAAGAAAACTAGGTGATCTTGATAAATTGGGTCATAACATTTATGAAGACCTAGTTAAATACAACAAAGAAGGATGGTGCAAAGTATTCTTCCAAACATTCTCCAAGTGTGACAGTGTTGACAATAACATGTGTGAAAGCATCAATGCTTGGATATTGGGCCCTAGACACAAGACAATAATATCAATGCTAGAGGAAATAAGGGTTAAAGTTATGAGTAGGGTAGCAAAGATGAGAGAATTTGCCGAAACTTGGCAGGATGGTGTCTCTCCAATGGCCATGATGGTGTTCAACACTAATGTTTAGAGGTCAATGAGGGTTGACTTCATGTTTAATGGAGATACTGGATTTGAACTCAATAATGGTCCATGCAAGTTCATTGTAGATTTAAGAACAGGTTACTGCAGTTACAGGTCTTGGGAACTGAAAGACATTCCATGTCTACATGTTATAACAACAATGCACTTCAAGAGACTTGATCCTTCAGAGAATATTGTACACTAGTATAGGAAAGAGATCTACATGATGGCATATTCACATTTCATACAATCAGTTCCCAACATGATAATGTGGCCAGAAATTAGTAACCCCAAGGTATTACCTCCTCTAGTTCAAAATATGCCTAGAAGGCCAAGAAAAAGTAGAAGAAAGGAAGTTGGAGAAATAAAAAGAGCTAGAAAATTATCAAAGAAGGGAATAACTATGACATGATCCATTTGCAAAGCAAGTACTCATAATATGAGGAGTTATCCAACAAGAACAACAACTAATCAATAGGTACCTTCTTACCTTCTTCCTTTATTACTATCTTCTTAGTTATCTAAGAGCTAATTCCTCATTTTCTCATATAATTAACTACTAATTGCTCACAACAATCAACAATAAAAACTTCACAAAAGAGAGGCAGAAAGGAATCTGACAATGCATCTACAAGTAAGGCATCTACTGGAGGAAAATCTGGGGGGGCAAGAAGCCACTACAAGAGGCCTAGGCTTCAAGGACATGGTGTATTTGTTGCACAATCTGGTTTTACAAGTATTAATGTTAGTGTATTTTTTTTCCTTATATTTTATTGTCTAACTTACTATATGATCTCATTGTCTAACTTTGAAATGTATCTTTTTGGTTTGAATCAGCATGGTTTGCCTACTGCCAGAAAGGTTCATATTGGCCCTTTAATTGATTCTACCCATGTTACTGGCGATATTGGATATAAGCCTCCTAAAGGTTTGAAATTGAAAGGGAAGGAAGTTGTGACTCAAAGACAACTTCAAGTCCAAGTTTCAATGGCTAGAATCAAGACAAGGTCCCAATCCGGTGGAATACAAACAAGATCTAAGGTTATAGGAAAATCTTCCTCCAAGAAGACCACTTGAATTTCTTTACTTTTTGGATGTAGTATTTGATATACTAGACTTCTTTTTTGTTGAATTTGTGGGTGGATATTTTTGTTAAATTCATGGGGTGTCTATTTTTTGTGGATACTGATGGTGGTACGAAACTTTATTTTGTGAACTTCTTTGTCATGTGTATGTCAAGCTTTATATGGAAAGCATAGTTTAACTCTATTGTTAGATGTTAAATTCCAACTTTCTTTGTCAAATTACCAGCTATGTTGATAGCAGTGTCGAACAGTATATCATATTGCTTAACTTCTGTTACATACTACCAGATAACCATTATTTGTACATGAGCAAAATCAGATTCAAAAGTAAAGTGAAAAATAATAGAAACTTTAGCATTCTTTCCCTCTTCGATAGTTTCTTAGTCTTCTTCAACAACCTAGAAATAACAATGTTTGCTTGCTCCGGAAATGAAGTTTCATACCACTAAAAAAATAGATAAGAATTTGTCTTCGGATAAATACTACATCCAAAGAATCGTCGTCCAGGATTTGGAGTAGTCCATGCAACTTTTAAAGGAGCTGGCTTGCCATATCTACAAAAATATATTCATCTTCTTTCTTCCAAGTAAAAAAATGGTTGTTATTTGGGCAAAAAATAAGAGCCAAAATCTTGGGGGGGGGGGAGGATGGAATTTGGCTGGACAAAGAATGTGAGAACAAAGAAAATGCTGAAAACATATACAGAAGCCAATAAATAGGGGTGAGAAGGGGGTTGTTACCGTTGGGGGAAATTATTACCGTTAAGGGTGGTTCTAGGATTGGGAAAGGGAAATATTCAACTGATGTGGCAAAAAATATACTCCCCCACGCGCACTCAACCATTTGAACCAACTTCCACTGCCATGTGGCAGGTGGGGGGGGAGAAAATAAAATCCGAAAAAGTAAGCATAGGGGGGTAATTAAAATCACGTATAGTTAAGGTGTACACTCATTAAAAAGTGTCAAGTTTAGGGGGGTCTTTACCTATTCTGCCTTAAAATTAATATGAAAAGACATTTTACCCTTTCTTCCATTTCTTTTCTTCCCAAACTCTCGCTTCTCTCTATACAGAAGTGGATGGCTATGTGTGCTTCTCTCTCAATCTCTTCTGTGCATTTTTTCTCTTAGTAACACATGGCTATGTTTCTGATCTTAAACTCGTCCTTCAGCCAATCTATTCTAAGTTTACATCGTCAAATGCATTATAACTTATTAGTTCATTCTGTATACAGTGTCTTTTAATTCATGTGTTTGTGTCTCAAAAAAACACTATGGATGTCTTTTAGAAGATATCTCATGAAAGAGAAAATGAACTTTTCTAAGTATAAACAATATTTATACTAAACTCACAGGTAGTTTTGAACTTAGAGTTCCAAGTTCAAAAAATAAGGACATGTAGTCCTGAACTTAGAGTTACATGTTCAAAAGTTAAGGACATTTAGTCCTGAACTTAGAGTTACAAGCTCAAAAACTAAGGACAATTAATCCTTAACTTAGACTTACAAGCTCATAAATTAAGGACAACTAGTCCTAAACTTAGTAACAAGCTCATAAGTTAAGGACACTTGGTCTAAAACTTAGAGTTGGAAGTTCAAAAATTAAGGACACTTGGTCCTTAACTTAGAGTAACAAGCACATAAATTAAGGATAGGTAGTCCTTAACTTAGAGTTACAAGTACATAAATTAAGGACAGGTCGTCCTGAACTTCCAGTTCCATGTTCTAAAGTTAAGTACATGTAGTCCTGAACTTAGAGTTACAAGTTCAAAAGTTAAGGACAGGTAGTCCTAAACTTAGACTTACAAGCTCATAAATTAAGAACAACTAGTCCTGAACTTAGAGTAACAAGCTCATAAGTTAAGGACACTTGGTCCTGAACTTAATGAGCAGAAGTGTATTTTTTTTCAGGCGGGTAAAAGTTTATTAAAGCAGTGGCTAAAGACTAAAGATATTTTAAACAGTGGCTTAAAAGTAAATACATATCATATTAATGGCTAACTGTGCACTTCCCCCTCAAAAAAGCTAGACCGATACTCTAAAATGACTTTCTCATGTGAAACAACCTCCGGACAGCTCAAATCTAGCCAAAATAATTTTATAACATAAATAAAACTCATAGGCAACTCCGAAAAAATAAACTTCGATTTTCAATTAAAACTAAAAAGTGAACCCAAAAGTCAACCCCGAGTCCCCACCTCGGAAACCCAACAAAAATTTACTATAACCGAACACCCATTCCGATACGAGTTCTACCATACCAAACTTATCAAATTTTGATGCCGAATCACCCTTCAAATCCTCATTATTCCCATTTTACATTTTTGAAAGATTTTACAAATTTTCACATTTTATTTCATTCAATTCACTAATTTAATGATAAAAAAAATTATAGAATCACAAAATATAATCAAATCTGGGTAAATATCACTTACCCCAAACAACCACATGAAGAACTGCTCAAAAATCGCCCAAATCCGAAGTCTATAACTCAAAATATGAAGAAAATGGCCAAACCCTCGACTTATATGATTCTGCCCAAGTCTTCCGCATTTGCGAACAAACATTTCGCTCCTGTGCTGCCTCCACTTCTGCATTCCCAGGCACCGCACCTGCAATGTCGCAGGTGCGCAAGAATTCTCTCTTCTGCGAGCATACCTCAGCTGCCAGCTTCCGCTTCTGCGTCTTCATCTCTGCGTCCGCAATCGCTGGTGCGGAAAATACTTTGCACCTGCGACCACTGTCCACCCCTTCCTATTTCACTTCTGCTATCACTGCCTCGCCTATGCGGTCTCGCACCCATGACCAAATCCATCATAGGTCCGATGGTACCAGTCCAGAACTCCTCAACATCTCCTTAAGTCCAAAATCCGATTCGTTAACCATCTGGAATCCACCCGAAGCTCCCGGGACCTCAACTAAATATACCAATACATCATAAAACATGATACAAACTTAGTCGAGGTCTTAAATCACATCATACAACATTGAAATTATAAATCGCACCTCGAATCGAACTTATGAATTTTCACAACTTCCAAAACTTGTGCCGAAATGTATCAAATCAATCCGGAATAACATCAAAATTTGCATGCAAGTCCCAAATAACATAATGGAGCTAATCAAACTCTCGGAATCACAATCTGAGCCCAATATCGACCAAGTCAACCCCCGGTCAAACCTCTGAACCTTTCAAAACTTTAGTTTTTCCTCTTTTCGCTGAAATGTTTCAATTACTCTAAGAACCTCCAAATCCAAATCTAGATGCACGCCTAAGTCCAAAATCACCATACAAAGCTATTGGAATCATCAAAATGTCATTTCATAGTCATCTACACAAAAGTGAAAACTCCGGTCAACTCTTACCGCTTAAGCTTCTAACACAAGAATCCTTTTTCCAAATTGACCCTGAATCATCCGAAAACCGAACTTGACCACACACGCAAGTCATAAAACATAATACAAAGATGTTCGAGACCTTAAGACCCCGAACGGAATGCTAATTCTCAAAATGATAGGACGGGTCGTTATAGAAAGTGGATTAGAGTTGCTTACCAAATATTTTGGGAAGAAGAAATCCTTGAAAAATCACCTCTAGAGTGTTTAGGGTTGAGAAATGGTGTAAAATGAGCTAAGTCCCAATTTTTTCCTCGTTTACCCAGCTGCAGATATCGTAATTGCAATGTCTTATTTGAAATTGTAAACACTACAAAAGCGAAGCACAGGTCGCAAATATGAACTGTGCATCAGAAGTCGAGATGTCGCGAATGCGACAATTAACTCGCAAATGCAAATATCCCCCCTTCGCAAATGAGCCAACAATTTGCAAATGTGAAGATAACTCAAGTTGCCTATGATCCCAAATGCGACCACTATCTTCGCAAAAGTGACCAACGACAACTCATAAAAGCGAACCTATTCCTCGCAAATATGAGGTCACCAATCCCAGGCCCTGCTCGCAAATTCAAACTTTTGTTCGCATAAGTGAGGCTCGCAAATCAGCCCTCACAATTGCGAGATTTTCATCAGATACCAGAAGCTAACTCTGCACCAGCAGTCCTCAAACTATCCAAACTCATCTGAAACGTGTCTGGAAGTCACCCGAACCCTTTAGGCTCCAAACCAAAAATATACACAAGTGTAATAACATCATATGAACTCGTTCACATGATCAAAATGTCAAAATTTCATCTAAAACAACAAATCGAATATCAAAAAGAATGAAATCTCAATGAAAAACTCAAGAACCTCTAGAAATGCAACTGAGCGTCTGAATCCTATCAAACCAACTCCGATTTGCACCAAAATTGCAAACAAGTTTCAAATAGAAAAACATACATATTCCAAGTTCCGAAACAAAAATCCAAACCCAATAGCCATAAAGTCAACCTATGGTCAAACCGAGGAAATTTTCAAACATTCAAATTTTTGACTCTTGTGTTGACTTAAGCAGTCATCGAGTGGTTCAGTCGAGCCATTTGTGATTTTCAATCTTAACTAGGGTTATTGTGGGTCCTCGACTCCATTCTCTTTAGCAATCCAGCAGTGTGAGATATGAGATATTTAGTTGCAAGTTCAAGTACATGTGCTAATAGTCTAGAACTTTCCCCCAATATTTTTCTAGGTGAAATTTTAAGTGTAGCTTTACTCGAGAAATGATTGTAGGCTCTCCTTGATCCAATTTGAAATCTTCCATAGACTACCAATGTGATATCCCTAGTTAACCCATTTGATCCTAAGCCCTTTTTCATTCAATAACTACGTTACAAGCCTTTATCCGTTTTATAATGACCTTCTCTTGGTACCCGATCTTTCCTTAGTTTTCTTGAGAAACAATTGGCTAAAACATAAGTTTGGAGGAGAGATAAGGAGTTTGAAAGTGATATAAAGGTACAAAGAAGAGGAAGGAAATGAAGAAAAGGGAAGGCAAAGAAAAGAAAGAAAGAACAAAAAGAAAAATGCCAAAAAGAAAGTGAATAACGTGAAGTGTTGAAGGGATTCAAAGAAAAAACAAGAATTAAAGGAATGGAATAAGTAGAGAAGGAGAAAATGAATATCATGACCAGGAAAGAGTGGAA